AGCATGGAGATTAAACAATATGTTATTGAACAATTTTCTCATATAGAAATGAAGAACAATGAAACTCTCATCCTTACCTACCTAAGTGGCAGACTGTGAAAATTAATGAAATACAATCGTACAAGCATAAGGAGGCATCTCTTTCTTCAAGGCTTTTGGAGTATGTGTATATATATATATTACTTTTTTTTTTTGGTAGAATTCTTAGAGAAGTAAATCAGTGCTTTAGAATCAGTAGGTGGGTCTTTGTTTTAGCCATTTACTTGACAAACATCTTTCAGTTCATGCTTTTGTTACATTCACATCCTCCGGTTATTAATTGCTTAAGATCTTTTTTTCCCATTTTTTAAAATTGAAGTATAGTCAGTTTACAACGTTATGTCCATTTCTGGTGTACAGCATAATGTTTCAGTCATACATATACATACATATATTCCTTTTCATAGTCTTTTTCATTATAGGTTTCTATAAAATATTGAATATAGTTCTTATGCTATACAGTAGAAACTTGCTTATCTATTTTATATAGTAGATATTATCAGCAAATCTCAAAATCCCAATTTATTCCTTCTCACCTTCTTTCTCCCTGGTAACCATAAGAAAACTATACTGTTTTCTATGTCTGCGAGTCTATTTCTGTTTTGTAAATAAGTTCATTCATGTCTTTTTTTAGATTCCACATATGAGTGATACCATACGGTATTTTTCTTTCTCTTTCAGGCTTACTTCACTTAGAATGACGATCTCCAGGTCCATCACATTGCTGCAAATGGCATCGTTCTATTCTTTTTTATGGCTGAGTAGTATTCCACTGTATAAATATACCACAGTGTCCTTATCCAGCCATGTGTCGATGGACATTTAGGTTGTTTCTATGTCTTGGTTACTGTAAATAGTGTTGCTTAATTGCTTAAGATCTTAATCTTAGACCTATACCACGTGCTCTTTTTCTCCATCTTCCAAGCCCACCTCCTTCTCGTCTGACCTCTCTCCCAGTACTCCTGGGAATATCTGAAATACTGAATTAGAATCATCACCACAAAAACACATCAAAAAGTCTAGTGGACCAACAATGTCATATTGTATAGCGTATCTGTAATCGTCCATGGATGAACTGCCTAGAAACATTGAGAATTTCTGGTGATTTTGGTCTATATCCCACCTATTTGCCTCATCCACAACCAGTGATACTTAATTTTATTCCTAGGCTGGGAGGCAGCGCCTCAGCTTCATGCTCTTCTGTGCTCATTCCCCTCGTTTCTGGGGCTTCTTTCTCAGTCTCACTTTGGCAGCACCTTTCCTCAGTTATTAGCTCGCTCCACCCCTAGGACTAGCCTGCACCTTCAAGCATGCCCTGGTCCTTGGAAGTTGCCAGGAAATTCCTCTCATACCCACCCAACTGCGGCCCCACCTTTCTTCTCTGCTGCTGTCATTGTGGCTGCCCGGGGAAGAGGTCTCACCCTTTCCCTCTGGCACTTTCCAGCATGCATACATACAGGACTTTCCTGTTTCTGGTTCTCTTAGCATAACTTCAGGCAGAGGTAAGAGTGCTTACTGGAGGGGTAGGAATCACCACCAGAAAAGGAGAGTTTGAAGATAATGGAAAAGGGAAGCTCTTCCAGCAACATCACGGAAGACACGGAAGGGACCCGGGGTCTGCTGCACAGGTGGTTGAATTCGAGGAGGAGGAAAGGAGGGAAAGAGAGAGGTGTGGGGGGAAAGTGGGGAGCATACTAAGATGGTTCATTCTCATAGAATTTTTTAAACATTTAATGGAAGAGAAAAAAGTTCCTTGCTGAGACTGCAATTGGACAAGAATTATGGAAAATAAGCGTAAACTAAGGAATAGCTGTTGAGAATAAGAAAAAGAACTGCTTGGGGGTAAGGGATTCTCCCGTCACATTGCGAGTCCACTGAGACTGGCTATAGCTGCCAAGAACCAGAAATGGCACCTCACAGCCATCTGAGGGAGGCTTCCTATTATCCTGTACGCTTTAAGTGTTTCCACTAAGTGTGTTTAAATGGGTCTGTGACCCCAGAAGTTAAGCCCTACTGCTTTAGACAATCATGTAACTTTTTCTGCCAGAGAGCTTCTATTTCAGAATGTCTTTCAATCATAGAAGAGTTATGAAACCACCTCTATCTGGATTTGAAGTAAAAGACATAAGGTACTAAGGGGGGAAAGTTTACATTCTCATAACTTTCCTTCATCACGGGCATTATTTTGGTGCATTGCCAAGCACCAATCAACTCTGGGTAGTGCCTGCGTTCCAAAACAATTCTGCAAGAATATATTATCCTATGAACAATAAACTGTTGTAACGTTTCTTCATTCCAATATCAGACCTCAAAGAGCACCGCATCACTTTTTCTTTTGATTATTTTCTCATGAACCTGGAGTATTTGATTTATGCTTAACTGTTTCTACATCTAAAGACATTTTGGTATTTTATAATCAAGTTTTAATCTTCTAAACTAGATGATTCAGGAAAAATACTTAATCCATCAAAATAACTCCAAACCATGTGCTTTTCAAATTACCCCCAAAATGGCATATAGTTTCCATCACATTGGGATTGCAAAAAGTGAGGCAATTTATGACCTTTGGCTTATTTCCAGTTCCCTTAGCTGTCAATGCTATACTAATGCCATCTTCCAAAGGACCTCTGGCAAGACTTCACAGGGATATCTGTGGGTTCAGATTAGCCGGAACAACAAATGAATTTATTAAGTACTAGCAATCAGCCTTGAACCTTGTTCTCAAGTGCCCATAGAGTTCACCATAATTCTATCTTTGAATAGGAAATAAGCTTGATGGAAAGAGAAAGGAAACTAAAAGTATTAAATGCCCACCAAGAGCCATACTTTGCATATATGAGTTCATTGAAATTCAGGGAATTATTTATCATACAGTGAAAAAATCATGGTTCAGAGTTTTGTAATGTATCTAAAGACACAGCCAAGGATTAGATCTTAGGCAGGTCTACTTCTTAAGCTCATGGAATTTCCACCACTCCATTCTGTTGATTCCTACTAATGGTTATTAAAACTAGAGTAAACAGTGCTAATAGTCTATTTAAACCAATTTTTATTGGAGAAATGATTATATATATATTATATATATATATAAAACTCACACATTTCCCCACTAATACACAGGATATGTATGAATTTTGTCCATCAAAACCGTGATAGTTGAGAATGTGTCTTTCCCTAAGCCACAGGTGAAAAGAATATACAGAAATAAGTTCTAATAACTTTCCAGACTTAGCCTGAGTCTGGAAATTGTAGTTTGGAAAAGAAAAATCATATCTAATAGTACACTAAGTGCCTAAAAATAAGGAAAATTATCTCAAAGTAAATTTCCCTATGAAGACAGCTTTTCCAGGGAAGTGGGAATTTATTATTCATATTGTTGGGAATAACTGCCCTTGTCTTGGTTCTATCTTTAGAATGTGCACACATTGTTGAATATGAAACATGAACAGCATGTAATCTTCTAACATAATTCATGTCTAAAGAAGCAAAATAAAACCACCCCTTCAGAAATTCCTTTCTGGCGTCTTATTTTGTTTTTAAGAAATCTATTTTTAAAGAAATAGAGGGCTTTACTGTTCAATAGAATAATTTCTTTTTCAAAACTTTTTCAAAAGTTTATCCCTTAAATTATTTTTACTCTCCTACCACAAAAATGAAAACATCTATATCAATAAAAGACTTTTTGAGATGTTTATTTCCTACTAAATCCTTCTCAATGTTTTTCCATGAATGCTGCAAGTGTTTCTCCTTTTCCTTACTCTTTTAAATGCATTTCTACAGCTTGCCTTAGTTAAAAAAAAAAAAGGCAACAATAACAGAAACAAAAAGCCTAGCTCCAGGAGCAGTCCAAGATGTGGCTGGTTACGGCCTCTGAATTAGACAGGTAAAATTCATCATTTCTGAGCCACGTGACCTCCACACATTACTTAAACTCTCTAAAGCTTAATTTTCTCATCCTTGACATAGGGATTCCAGTACCTTCTATACAGAATCATCATGAAGATTACACAAGACATGTCAAATGTGTTTGAAACTGCCTGTCAGTCAATTAATGTTGAACGTCATTAGCCTTTAATTTCAGAAAGCTGAAGCCTGCTCATCTGAAGACTAGGAAATTCTAGGAGACGTGATCATTAAGCATTTTCATGTCATTGTCTACACCGGCATACCATGACCCATTAGACCTCTCCTGCAGAAACAGCATTCGGGGCAGTCCTCAGGGCTCCCGTGAATGCCCTGAGATTTTGTGAACAGTTCCAAATCCACACAGTGTGAAAACTGAAGAAGACACTGACATTTTCAAATGTTAGAAATCCTCCTAAGTTTTTTCTCTGTCTCTTCACTTGTCTATTAAATTATTTGCTCCTCTCTTTCATCAGTCAATTAAATCATATAGACCGAGTGCTAGGTTTGATGCTCCTGACTTTAAGGAGCTTGGAATCTGTGTGAGGAGCAAGAACCATGCCAAAGAAATGATGAGACAGCAGTTCAAGATGGTGGACTATCCAGTGTGAAATGGAAGGATATTAAGAAGTTCACAGGGAGAAACAACTGTAGGTGGGAAAAATGCAAATGATTTACATCACCTGCCCTCCAGACTGGCTGTCTCCACCTTTCTGAGAGTCAAAAAAAATCCACTAGATTTGTCTCACTTCGGTCCTGGGATTTTTTAATTTAGGGAGTACGAGAAAAAGTGCTCAAGACAATTTTAAGACAATAGGGAGGGTAGGAGAAGCTGCTCCTTGGCTCTCAACGTTCCTACCCAACTCCTTGTGTATAACATTCAACATTCTCTCTCACTGCCAACTTCGGACTCACCCAGACTCAAAGGAAAAGGAAAGAGATCTGCTGCATCACATACACAGTTTAGCCTAAATAGTTCTAGCGTAGTTTGAAAATAACCCATAGGGATTCGAGTGACGTGAGGCAAAAGACCGTTTCCTACCATTAAAAAGTAGACATCTCAGGATTTTACTCTTCTCTCAGGTTGTTTTCCAAGATGGCTTTTTGTGCCGCATCATGGGTGCCTGTAGTTCATCTCATTGGAGCACCATTTGGAAGCCCAAGGAAACTCCTTACTCTCCTGATGTCTCCAGGACTTGTGCTTTCTGCAACAAAAGGTTGAGAAGGAGAGGGCAGTGAGTGGCACTGACTTCACACAGTCGGAGCAGGAGGAAGACCTCAGGTTGAGCTTGTTAATAACGTGTTGATGTGCTTGCTTTCAACTCATTCAGTTGTCTGCTTACACCCCTTTTGAACAGCTTGAATTGCCATTTTTATCTGTAAGACCTGAAAGTCACTCATTTCAAGAAGTATTCAATGGCAAGGAAAGGAAAGGAAAGACTGTCCTGAAGAGATGGGGAAGTAGGTGAACCAAAAGATCTAAGAAGTTAAGATGCCTTAACTTGTAGTGAAAAATGTCAAAAGGATGATCAAAATTACCACTTTGTTTTCGATAACTCATATTCTTTTATTTCAGATTCCTCCCCATAAATCTCCAATGTCTAATCACTTCTGAACACTAGCAAAGAGATAATTATTACTTCTAGTGAGCAAAATCTAAATAAGAGATACAGAGACAGGGAGAGAGGTTGACAAAAGGTCAGAGAGAACAGATGAGCCAGTAGAGGAAGGAGATTAGTGCTTATCTCACACCCTCTAGAAGGGCATATAGAACTTTCCAAACAGGTTTGTGATGGAGCTAGTTATTGAGGTGCTAGAATTTATACAGAGAATCAAGCAATCCCTACTTAGAGGAGAATATATTTAAGAAAAATAAAATGAACTGATCCACACATATACAGGCTATCCAATAAATATATAAATTACTGTATGAGATAACTAATGAGTGAGCCACAGAAAAGGCATTTTAAGGCTGGGAGACAAGGGTGAGGCACAAACTGGCTCATGCAATTAATTCACGAGGTCGTTTTCCCAGCTCATGGTGAGCAGGATATGCATCTTGTCTTCTGAGTAGTTCTATGTCTATAACAGCCCCGGATATAAGCCAGGGGTTTCTATAAGGAACCTGTTTCAGTTTATAGTCTTAGATGGATGCCATGACTCAGAGCCTGATGGCTATTCTTTTATACATTGATTCTTTTCATTCCTGAGTGACTACCATGTTCAAGTGTCTGTGTCAAGTGCCAAGATCTTAGCACCTCCCACTTCTGGAGAAGCAAACCCAAAATATCTGTGTCTGTGTTGCTGGGAGGGCCATGGGCGCCTCCTCTTTGAAGCATTTTTACCTAATCTCTTACCACGGGGAATACTGACTCTGTCCACTGCCTTCCCAGCCGCTCCATTTTGTATCCCCACACCCAACTCTCCCACCACTCCCCACCAGTGTGTGTGTTTGGAGGGATGTAAAATGAAGACAAGAACCCCTTAGAAAGTAGTGGAGCTGGGACTCTGCTAGGTAGATTCCTAATTCATAGTTCTTGGCCAACTCTTTCTGTCTTTCTGTCCAATGTCTATTTCTCTATCCATTTATCGTCTCTACACACACTTAAAAAGCCACCAAATTGGTAACACGTCCTTACTTCTAATTTAAGAAAGGCTGTCAATCATTCAACAGATATTTATTGAATATTTACTCTTTGCCCAATGCTGGGACTTCAGTCTTCTCTTTTAGGTTCTGTCTGTTTTCATTTAAACACTGGCCAGGTGGACACTGATAACTACAAGGTCTGAGCTCCAATCCTGATACCAGGTGTGCTAATAATTAGCTGTGTGACCATGGAGAAATTACTCTGTCTCTCTGGGTCTCAGTTTCTTCTTGTCCAAAACAAAGAGACTATGATACTGTTATGGGCTGCATTTTTGTTCCCTACAAATTCACACATTGAAGCCCTAACCCTCAGTACCTTGGATGTGACTGCATCTGGAGATAAGAACTTTAAAGAGGTGATGTAGTTAAAATGAAGTCATTAAGGTGGGACTGAATCCAGGCTGACTGGTGTCCTTGTAAGAAGAGGAGATTAGAACCTAGACAGTCAGGGAAAAGGCTACACGAGACAAGGAGAAGGTGGCCATCTACAAGCCCAGGAGGGAGGCCTCAAGAGGAACCAAACCTGCCAACACACTGATCTTGGACTTTCAGCCTCCAGAACTGTGAGAAATAAATTTCTGTTGTTCAAGCTACCAGTCTGTGGTACCGTGTGATGGCAGCCCCAGCAGACTCGTACAGATACCCACCTAGGGTTCCTTTCTGCTCTACTATCCTGAGACCACCTCTCCCCTCAAAAGAAGAAAAAATAAAAATCCTCTAAGTAACAATGTAAGTGCTTGTGAAATGCACTGCATCTCATTAATTCTCTAACAATTAACTGATTAACACTAGCAAACCGAGCCCCATAAAAAGACTATTTTTAAATTCTTTTTTAAGCTCCAGTTGCTTGGTGCGGAGAAAACCCTTTTAAGTGCACAGATTTAAAACATTTGTTTCTCCATACGCAACTATATTAAAGAGTCCCTGCAATCATACTTCAGCACATTTCTGGAGTGAAATTGAGCAGCGGGTCAGTGAAACTTAGACCCCACGCAAGCGATTGAAGGAACAGAGCGCATCCAGGCGGTGCAGCCGCAGCAAACGTGGAACAGGGGTGGTCCTACTGACCTATTGGACCTGCAGTGAGGTCGATATATCCTGAAAAATCTCATCAACGTGTCTATTTAAGGCTTTTTGTTTTTTGGGGGGTGGGCTTTTTCTAACGCCCAGTTTATCTCCCTTTCCGTATTTCACAGCGGTTCCATTGATCCTGCCTGAGGAATCGGCACTGAAGCAAATGATACCTCCGCCGTGAGACGGAGTGTCGACTTGCAGATTTCTGAACGTCTGGACTCGCTGGGTTTGACAGGTTGACAAACTTTAAACAAAGGTGCAATAACTAACTGTAAGACAAAGACCTATAAATCTGAAGGAAAGGGAGGGTGGCCGGGTGAGGGTGACAGGGCTGACATTTTTCTTTTATGAACTGCTAGACAGGAAATGAGGCTTAAGGGATTGAAGGGATGATGAAGGAGGGGAAGGAGGGAATCAGGTAAATGTACGGCAAAAACACCGCAGCAAAGGTTAAAGGGTGTGTGCTGAGAAATTGGTTTTAGCGACTGATTCTGTTACACAGAAAGAGGAGTCAATAATCTGGGCTCCTCTGATAGGAACTCGTAAATATCTTAATTGACGTACTATGTCAAGCAGAAGCATCAGAAAACATGTTTTTCTCCTTATTCCTTATATTAATATCTTTGAATGACCTCAGATAAATGATCTCGGCCCATTTATTACTTGGTGATCATTCCTGATAACCATCACTTTATTATCCCTTTGTTTCGGGGCTTCCCAAATGTCATGACTCACCAGCCCAGGAGAGTAATAACTGTAAAAAGAAAGAAAGAAAGAAGAGA